ACTGTCAAAACTATATTAAAAACATAGAAAAGGATATGACAAAATTATTTTGAGGAGGTTTCGGCAGGCATCTATAAGTAAAACAATATAAATTCCATAGAAGAATTTCAGATAAAGTTTTAGAAAAATTAAACCAGTTAAATTTAGCTAATTAATATTAAAAAATAAAATTTTATTGTAATTTTCTATATACTTATTAACCAATAAAAACGTTTTCACGTGATTTTCACATGACTTTAAATTTTGGACCAGTTGATGAGTATATATGCATTGCACTATAACAAAAATAAGTAGACTTAATTAAATCAGATGTCAGGTTTATCATCTTATTAAGCAACTTCTATATCATCAACGTTCATACAATATATATATAGATAACTATTTTTCCAATATTTCTCTTTTTTAACATCTTCAGTAAAATGGAATTGGTGCTTGCGGAACTATACGAAAGACTACATTAAGGTTTCCTAAAGAATTAAAGTTGGATAAAAGCATTAAACTTGATTGGGATGTTCATTATAAAATTGTGGTAGATGGTGTATTAACTGTTTTTTAGCAGGATAATGGACTGGTTATAATGTTATCAACAATTCATAGAATTGTTAGTGAGGAGTGAGAAGTAGAACGGGATAGGTAGCGATCAAAAGAAACTAGTACAAATGCAGCAAAGATACATGTAGTATTTAGTTCTAAATCTAGAAAAAAATTAAAAATTTCAAAAATAGTAGATGACTACAACCATAATATAAATGGTATAGATATTGCAGATCAGTTACATTCATATTACAATATGCAAAAAATAACACAACAAAATTGGATGCCCATTTTTTTTTGGCTACTTGATACCAGGATTGGGAAATTTGTATATACTAGATAAATTTTGATCCTATACTTGTATTATACTTTATTAAATTTTATATTAATTATTATATGTACTAACTATACTAAACTGTACTAAGCTGTACTAACTGTACTAATTTTCTAACCCTGCTTGATACTGCAATTATTAATGCATATCAGATTGTTCAGACCATAGAATCAATACAAGAACAAAAAGAGTTTCACAATGAGCTTGTTTGGGATTTAATTAATTTTGCAAATAATACTGGTGAAGTTCAACTAAGGAGTAGTTTGGAGAAGGATATAAAACATCAGAAAATAACAAAACATTTTAAGCTTTTGGACTAACGATTAGTTCTTAGAAACTATTTTGTAAAATGGAGAGAAAAACGTGAAGCGTGTAAGTGGTGTATATAGTTAGCAAATAAAAAAGAAATAGATATAGATCGTAAAATACCAAACAGAAGCCAATTATGGTGTATAGCATGTAATGTACCTTTGTATTGTAATAATGTTAGGAATTGCTTTTTAGAATTTCATAAATATTTTGCGAAAGTGATTTATTAAACCATAAACTTTAAAGTCACGTGATATATTAGATACTGCGGACAAAAAATTATGTTATGTGACTATAATTTCAACTGATTAAAATAAAGTTTTTACTATAAAAATTCTACTCTAAACTTAATTTACTTTTAATCATTTTAGCATATAAATTTGTCCGCTAAAATGGATGGTTTAAGAGATAATAAATAATTTGTGATAAATAATTTTTATTAATTAAAAAATTTCAAATTTTTAAAATATATAATAAAATTAAAAGAATATAATATAATATAATAAATATTTAATTATTAATAAATTTTTGGTAATGATACTAGAAAAAATAATTAAATTATATTACATATTTAAGTAATTAGCTTATATAATTTAATCAAAATTTATTTATGTATAATAATTTAAAAAATATATACATTATATTTAGGAATATCAATAACTACCTCTTTGTATTATGTAAAGAGTTTGATATTAAAATATTTGTCACATCATATCACATTTTTAAAGTTTCCATTTTTATTATTTATTTAAGAAATTTAATTTTTTTGAATGTTAAAAATCTTATTTGTCATATATATCTATTTATCACAGTTAGAGTTAGATTAAGAATTAGTTAATGTTAAGTATTAGCATATTATATTGGTATTCTTCAATATGAAATAAACATATTCTAATTTAAATATTTTCATTATACACAAATATAATTAATATATAATATAGATTATTTATAATTTATTCATAAAATTTTTAAATAATTACTATAATAAATTTTTTAAAATAATTTAAAATTTAAATTATTTTAATAAACTTAAGATATCTATTAATATATTTAATAAAAAATATATATTAATCTATTTTTTTTTTTTTATATTTATAAAAGTTAATTTTTTAAATTTTATTATAATAAAATTGTTTTTAAATAATTTAAAAAATAATTTAATTAGAGAATTAATAATATTTTGATTAGTAATATTTTTTATTAATTATTTATTTATTGAAAAGATTATTTTTTATAAATATTTTTTTTAAATATCATTATTAAAAAATCAATTATATATGATGGTATATATAAGAATATATTTAAAGTTATACTGCTTATTTTAACAATTTCAATATTTATTAAAATTTATGTTTAATCTCTTATATTTAAAGATAAAATAATTTATATTAAATATACAATTTGTAATGCTAAATTTTATTTCCATATAATTTTCAATTGATCGCTACATTCTTTAATTTCATTTTCCCATCCAATTTTCAAACTTTCTATTTCATTAGTATTTTCAATTAATGGATTTTCAGATATATAAATATTACATTCAACCCCTTGCCATCCAATAAATCCGTTCTTTACCTCTTCCCAATTTTTGATATAATTATTTTGTATTTTCAAATATCTTAAATTTCTTAACCTATTAACTCCACTTATACTTGTAATACAATTATTACTTACATCTATTTCTTTTAAGTTAATTAAATTAGCAAGAAATTGTATTGATGTAAGTTTATTATTTGATAAATTTAATTTGGTAATATATAATAAAATTGATGGAGTAGGAATTATTGTAAGATTTTTAGATTCAAGTGAAAATGTTGAATCTTGATATTGTAATGTATCGTCATTATATGCTAATTCTTTTGAAACAAGTTTGACTAATGATTTAGTTGCTGACTCAAAAATTGCTTTTGAACCTAATTAAGTTAAATAGTATTAGTTAAATTTTGCTTGCTGAATATATAATCGAATATTAAAAAAAAAGTGAACTTACGCAAATCTTCAAACCTTTTTGTTCTCAACTTATCAATCTTAATTAAATGATCACAAATTGTAACAACCTCATCATCGATCTTTGAATTTTCTTCCATATTTGTTCCAGAAATGTATTTTAATTCTCTTAAAAGATTTGCTAAAGTCTGTAAACACCCTAAAATAACAAACAATGTAAATAAATAAAATAAAAAAACCAAATAACATAAAATTAAATAGATTGATGATTGCCGGACTATATTTATACAAACATTTACTATCTGGTTCTAATTCCAATAGCTCTCGAACCATACTAATTTCGCGTTGTAAAAGTTTAATCCTTTCTGATGTATCTATTGGCAAAGTATCTTGACTCTGACTTAATGAACTTGATGATTCTTTTAATACATCATTCACACTCAATTGTGACATAGATATAATGAAGTCTAAATAATAGTAATAATATTATTATTTAAAATTAATAAATTATTCAAATAAAATCAATTCCTCACCGTTTTCTAAATTATAATTGTCATTAATAATACAATGTCTTTGCATAGTTCTTGTTAACTTGACTTCGGAATGTGATGGCACGATAAATTCTGGCTTTACCGTGACGATTAATTCTGTAAAATCATCCTTCACAGAATCAAAAAATGTAAAAATCCAAACAAAACCATAACTTCTATCAATATTAAGCTGATCATGTTTAAGTTCTCCTCCGGCAGGTCTCCACATTCCTTCAATGTAACTTGAAGGGGAATTATCATCAATCTTTTTAGTTACTTGAAATGGAATCACCATTCCAATTTCATCATCAAATGCTAATACAACTTGTCGCATTTTCGGATTATAATAGGCGCCGAGCAAAGAGATATGTTGAATTTCTAATTTAAAAATTTTGTCATTAAACTAGTTATTTTGTAAATAAAATTAACCAAGATAATATAAATCACATTTTCACACCTCGACCAACTAACCACCAATGGTATAGCCAAGCACTTTGATCATCCGGATCAGTGTAAAACGCAGCCTTTACCAATTCAAATTCTTTGAATAATAAATGATTTTTATATTTTTAATTAAAAATATTCATATAAAACAAATTCATTAATAGACACTTGTACTTACCTTTATTAACAAGGGTTTTCTTTTCCTGTTCATCCAAATTTTGCTCTTTTATTAAACGCGGCATCAATTTACTCCGTTGATGCCAAGCCGAATAATTAGAAAAATTTTGATTAATCTTTGTAGTAGTGAAATCGAATTCGGTTTGAGTGAGCGAAGTTTTAGTGGTGGAAGAAAGCTGGAATGTCACATAACGTCGATAATCCCATGCGTGAACTTTTGGATGAATAAATATGTTAAGTATATATATATATTTTTTTAAAAAAAGATTGATTTCATTTTAAAATATATACAATTTCTAGCATCCATTTCCAAAAATTTGCCAATAAGTTTTAATTCCATATTCCAATCTGGATTTGGTATTTCCTCCAAACACCATCTTCTATGATTGAAAATCCAATAAGATTTTGGATTTAACTGAAAGAGTTCTTGGAGAAAACCTAACTCAGTTGATAAAGTCTGTTGTTTATCTTTTTCTGAGCTAATTAAATATATATATTTATTTAATAAATTTCATATTTTAAATAATGAATTTAATTGCGCATACCATTCTTTCAGAATTCCATATAATAAAATCGATCTTCTAAAGTTCCATATTGTATAAAAATCAGGATTTTGTGATAAAATTTTTGTAGTTATCGTAAAAGCATCATTATCAAACTCATTTTTATCCCTCTAATGAATAAAAACAATATTGTAGTTAAAAGATTCAATCAAATGCGATTAAAAAGTAAGCTTAGTAATAATTCACCTTTTCAAAGCATGATGCAACTAAATCATTATATTCTTTTATTTTAGTTGCTTCTTTTTCTTTACGAAGCTTCTCAACTTCAGCTGAAGGTTTTACTCGCCTACGTCCGTGCTGTAAAATATAAATAATATCAATATTTATGTAAAACTTATTTTTATTCAGTTTATTTATAATTCGTACCATTATTTGGATAATTTATTTTTTTTTTTTTTAACAAATATTAAAAATTTCATTAGCTATGACATTAAAAGCTGCAAATTCCAGTCCGAAATTCAGACATTGATTTGGTTTTTTTTAAACCTTTAAATTGTAACTAAATTTGATCATAATTTACTATGCGACCGACCGTTACACTAAATTCGATCAGTTTTACAAATCTACTTTGATGATTAATAAATACAGATTTTCGCATTTTATATCAAGTATAAGGAAAAGTAATTTAATAGATTTATTAGTTTTTTTAAATGTATGATAAATCTAAGTAAGTATAACTCTATTTATGAAAAAGTATACAAATGAAAATAATATAAATTTAGGAATCAGCAAGTTGGTAACAATTGAGATCCTATTGTGAATTATACTGCAATAGCTACAGATTCAGGCCTCAACTGAGGTATAAACTATATAGTTTTTATAAGAATTTTATTATAATTGAATATGTGAGTATAAAAACTAATATATATTAGTAACTGATTCAATCTATCAATTGATGTTAATCATATCTAAATACTGGATTTTAAAGAATAAACAAAGTCAAGAATCAATAGAAACTTGACTTTTGCTAATAAATCTATAATGAATACTATCTCATATCTTCAAATTCAGGGTCTTTATATAAGTAAGAAAGTGATTAACCAGTAATTAATAAATCTAAAGTGTTTCAGATATAATAAACTATATTATATATCATAAATTTAGACTAGATTAAGTTGTCAATAAGATTAGAGATCAGGTTTGATTTCTAGATGACTTTGATATTAAGGTATCAAGCTACTATCTATGTAAAGAATTTTAATCTCACAGTTTTAGAAGTTATTAATAGAATAAAACTCTATAAATTAGATTGGTAAAATAGTGATTGTCAATTATTATAGCTAAAGTAAACTCACTATTTAATTCTGATAGCCAAATTCAATAGGATTTAGTTAAATAAATCTTAAGGTCAAATTCAAGTAAAGTGAACTATATATTAAGTGATAGATAGCAGTCTTTGAGTAGATGTAGGTAGTATAGTTACATAAACCTTTAGTGATAAATGAGACCTTAGGAATGTTACTAGTAGATTGTATTACTATAAAGCGTATTAAAACTTTTTTTTTATAGTGTTATTAACATTACTCTATCTGTCGAATGAGTTAACTATAATTTGAATTCAGAGAGACAATAACTATGACTTAAATTCAATTAACTTAATATGAAGTTAATTAGTGAATTCATTTAGTTAACAAAAATAAAATTACAAGTTTTATGTTTGCAAAATATTATTATTATTTATTATTATTATTAAATATATATTGAATATAATATTGGAATCTATCTTTTTTTCAGAACATTTTCAAGAAAATTATAATTAAAGAAAATCTATAACAATGATTATTATTAGGATACTATTAACAATAATAGCAGTGCTAACAGATATACTAGTAATGATAAATAAAAAAATAAATAATAAT